GCGCGTGGTGTGTGCGAACGCGCGTGCGTGCCTTTGCCTGCAGGGGAAGCAAGCATGAGGTTCGCCCCAGCATGCTGTAATCTATAATGCAGCATGTGTGCTCCAAGTGCAAGCCAAGAGCAACATGCGTTTACGGATTCCCTAGAAAGCACGTGACGCCTCTAGTTTCCCCAATCACAAGTGCAAATCACCCCAAAACCATACGGACTGCACATTCTCCCCACCCCAGCCGTTTTGTTCTAGTGGGTCAAAAACAGGGAACAAGGGCGGACGGTTATCAAGGTGTGTAGGTCGTCTGCCACTTGCGACTTGCTTAGTGGACATGGGACAGGCATGCTCTTGGTGAGTTCAAAAGGGCAACCCACAACTTGGCCAACTCTTTCCACATCCAACTGACATGCGTTTTTCGTGATTCGCTCCGCGATTTCCTTCAACAATTTGTGAGTGAGGAGGCAAGCGCGAGGTCGGCTAACACGCCGTTTGGAAGGTGCCCGAAGGCACGAGGTATGGTAAACGCTGCGCAGGGGTGGAACCATCCCTAGACGACCCTCGCGTGTTCCGCAGGTTCGAAGGCACCACCCGCAAGATGTACCTGCGGCGCTTGCGGCATCGTCGATGGTGTGCCCAGTTTGAGCCGGGGCCCAAGACACGGGAAAAGGGGAGAGGGCCCCTTTTCCGGACGCACTGGCCATTTTCTTAGTCGGCCTCCGACTAGGCACGTTTTGGGCTGGGCCGCAAGGATCGGCCACCAAGTGGGTGCACTGGAAGGATCGACCCCTTCCAAACTTGGGAGCTGGTGAGCGAGTCTCCAATGGTGGAGCGGGCGTCTATGAGGGTCCCCAATTGCAGGTATCCGGGGTGCAAGTCGGCGCGAGACATTACCAAAGATTTTGCAGGGTTTTTTACCGGATTCTGCCCACGTGGGTCTGGGGCAAAACCATCACCGCACGTGGTGATCTGGCGACTTGAGTGATTCCACTTCCCACTTCAGAAGGTCGCAAAGCGAAGGAAGCACCAAGCGAGCCCAACGTGGAAGAACTCTCAGCAAAAAGCTGCGGGCCCGGGGTATACCTGACCAAAGATGTGCAGTCCAGGGGCAGACAATTCCAGATTGACCCCTCAGGGCTTCCCTCAACCCTCCAAATACCATAGCCACGGTCAAAGTAACAAATGGTGCTCTGCTTTCGGCACAGGGGTCGAAAGGTGAAGCCTAGTGCCGTGCTAGGTACCCTCGGACCTTCGGATACGTGCTGAAGTGGGATGATAGGGATCGGCGCTCAGATGTTGCACCATCGCTTCCCAAAAAAGGCAGACACTTCTGGGCTCGAAGGATTGGTTGGGGGTGATGTCTGACCGATTGGCAGCTTTGCCCATTCCCCTAGGGCGCGATTGAAACAGACAATCAGGATGCTCAAAACAATGTCACCCAGTTTGGCGGTGGCACATGCGTTGTTTTCGCTGCTTTGCCAAGGTTCCTTTGAATTGAAACACGTGAAGAAGTTTGTCTTTGCGTTTCCACGGCAAGCCATTGGGCGGGGCAGGCAAGCGGCAGTTGTCAGCCTGTCGACCGGGAATGGCCGGGTGGAAGTGTGGTGCGCCACAAGAGGCTGGAGAGGGCATCGTGATTGACCAAGAGAAGACCAAGAAGTACCTCGTCATCCGCGACGCCGCTGAGTCTGCATTAAACGATTTTCCGCGTCGAGGCGTCGAGGCGGTCGCGGATCCTTTTGTATCAGGCACGACGGGCCAAACACGCTAGAGCAAGTTTGCGTTCAATGCTTGTTTTCCCGTTGTAGGTGCTCTTGGGTGGTATCTTAAGGCAAAGCGCAAACTGATATATACTGATATCTACTACAAAATCGCCAAGAGCTTGAAACGGTTGAAGACATCAGAGGGGAGGTTCGCGCCCGCCGCCGGCCGTGCTCTGGAAATTCTAGGATTCCCACTTATGCATTTACACGTGCTTTTCTCACCTGTTCTAAGGGAGCGGCGCCGCCGTGAGAATCCAAACGCAGCGTGTTTTGTGACTGGACCTTGGTGACTCTAGCATGCAACTGCAACATGATGTGTTGGCAAGGTTGATTGCGAAGTGTGGTTTGCGCTTCCTGGGAGGCTGAGACTTGAGGTCAATGTGTTTTAGTGCCCAGTTCTGATGATAGGGAGCTCTCCAATTGATTCAGGGAGGCAGTCCTGGTGGGGCACCCCCCCCGAGCCGAGTGTGCTCTTGTAGCGGTCATCGGACCCACCCTTCAAGCTCGCAAAGTGGAGCCCGAAGCGCAATGAATCGTGATGGCTCTCTGACCTTGCCGACCTTGGTGCGTCTGTTTTTTTGGGTACCCTTTATGCGGGGTTTAAAGGGAAACCATAATGAGGAACCCAAAAGCAGTCCAACCTTAAAACTGACACAACTCCTGGACGGCGCAGGAGATTGGCATGTCCTTCCACAACCACAAGACCCTCCAAGTGGTGGCTTGGCAGTTTGCGGGCGAAATTAAAACCCATTACCTCCTTTTCAATTCCATGTAGGTTCTAGTCACAAGTAATGTAGAGGACAAGTTAATAGACATTTTGGAGTGAGCAGGTCGTATGTTTCAATAAAATCTATTGAACATCACGTGTTTGAAGAGCATCTATTTCAATGCAGTTTCAAGTTTAATCCAATTATCAACAAAACAAATGGACGAAGCACAATGAACATTGCGATTTCATTTCGAAACCAGGCTCAACTTTCAAAGGGTCATTTTCCTTATCAACCTGTATGATTTTAGCCAAGCAAGAACTAAGCCAAGCCAATAGCAGGAAAGCAGCATTTACCGGCATTTGTCAGATCGGTGTTGTACCCTCACAAAAAGGTCGAACTCGGTGTGTGGTCATTGTTCCCCTCAAGAAGAGGTTCCGACGGGCACTTCCTTAATTCAGCAAGAAGGGCCTTCATATGATTCATATGTAAGAAACAAATACTGAAAAGTGTGATAATCCACTGCAACGTGCCGAGCTACTTGAAAGCATGTGTCATGCTTTGTTGACCCCTCAAAAGACACGTTTACATCAGTCTAACACATATTATATATATATATATGTTATTCTCTTTCAACCCTGGATCGAAGATGCAGGATTGCCCATAAAGCTTTTTGGGAAATCTTCAGTGCTCGCCAGCCTCAAGTCCCCAACCAACTTGAAAGTGTTTTGTACCAAGGGTCGAAGATTGAAGATTGCACAGAACACTTGTTTTAGATCAATCTTCGATCCAGCTGGACCCCCTTACAGTTGTTAGACACATTTCCAAGTTTTTTGGGGTTGGTCTCATCTTCGATCTTCGATGCAGGGGAAGCTTAAAAGAGACACATCAAGTTTTTTTTTTTTTTTTTTTTTAATATATATTTAGATTATCAAGCAAGTTTTCTGTGCAATCCTCAATCTACAATCTTCGATGCAGGGGAACATTGCAGTTTTTAGCGGATTGAAGGTTCTCAAACAAGTTTCCTGTGCAATCTCCACTCTCATCTCACTGTGGAGCTTTAGAAAGCCTTAGATATTTTTTGGGGGACTTGCGGCTGGCCAGGATTAACAGCGTTTAACAAAGTGTTCTCTGCAATCTTGAATCTTTCGAGTTTAGTTTGGGTTCTTGATTTTGGTGGGTTTTTTTGCCTGGGCTCACTTAGACCCCTTTTTTTGGTGGACAGTATTTTATGGTCTTTTGTGGGGCATCTAATATTGTTACATGATACGTACATATATATATATATACATATATACATATATATATATATATACGTATCTTGTGATACACCACTTCCCGGTAGCGCAACGTCTGACAAGGGTCCTCACGGATGGAGGTCGTCCAAACTAGGGGCAGTTTGCTCGTGTTCAGCTTCCGGTTGCTGCGCAATAGGCCGTAGCAGAACTGTTGGAACAGGTTCAGATTGTGCTGTTGTGCTATTTGGACTGTCAGCGAATGTTGGGTTTGTTGTCCGGCGCTTGCTTGGATATGGCCGGGGCTGGGAGTTGTTATTGTTTCATTCAGAGCCCTCCAAAAGGCGGCGCTGAAAGGAACTTCCTGACCTCTTACAGCTGTGGTCCTTGTGGTCCATGTTCAGTCCCCTAACTGTTTTGCTCTACATGTCCAGGGTCAGGGCTCCATTTGTTGACTACTATATTGACTACTCCAAAGTAGACTTAAACCCAGGGGGTGGTTGATTTCTCAAAAGGGGCAAACCCCTGGGTTGAAGTCTACCTTGGGGTCAAAAAATGGACGTCCGCTGTCACAATCCCGTAGCGGTTGCTCACACGGCGCATTTTGGACCACCAGCTGCTTCGCTATTCCACAGGGTCTTCATCAGTCTTTGCGCGGGGGGACCCATTCGGCCGTTCGACTGTATTTGTCCATCAGGCCACTGAGTGTTGACTGGGGAGAACATGTGTTCCCTGGCTCAGTCGGAGTTTGTGGAGTTCTTTCAGACGGACGAGATGGATGAGGCAGTGACTGAAAATCGACCTTGTTCTTTTTGGGAACGCCAACTCAAGTCTTACGCGCTGAGACGACTTTTTTTGTTCTCATTTTTTTGCTGCTGCCTATTTCAGATGCTGAGAAACAGGCCGCAGCTGCATAAGCACCAGTGACGCGGGCGTTGAACTCACTTCCTCACTGGGCAAGCGAAAGTGAGGCTCAAAACCAAAAGTCGAAAGTTCCAGAGGCGGACCTGTAAGCAGGCCGATGGCCCGATGGCTATGGGTTGAGCCAAGACTTGCATACAACTCGAGTAAACAATGGTGGTCTATGGAATGTTCGCCCCACCCTGCTGATCGCCATGATGGCCAAAGTTTGTTTTCTTCTTTTTTAGGAGGTTCGGACACGTGGCATTTGGCTTACAGCTGTGTGATTCGTTTGAGCGCAAGGAGAGGCAAGAGATGAGCGCACCCAGCGCGGAGTCGAATCATATGTCGCGGCATGAGAAGGGAGCCGAGGCTTCAAGAAATGCAGTTGCTCAGTTGATTTCTTTGATCAGTCCATCAGTTGATCCCGCGTGTTGATGGCTGCGCGTCGTTTCTGCCACTTGGCGCATCAAAAAAAAGGCCAAACAGGCAGCGCCTCTCGGGAAGGGATCCGCCGATGTGGTTCGGAACTGCTGTTGTCAAAACCGTTAAACGGGATCCCATTTTGGTTGGTAGGTGAATTCACCACCCATTTTAGAGCCTATTTTAGTGGTTGGATTGAATCGGATGTTCACTGGGGGATAATTGATTTGGATTTTGACCCATGCCCAGTTTTGAAAAGCCGAAGCGGAAGGACATTGGCCAAAGGTCCCCTCTGCTTGGGGATTTTTCGGGGCAAGGCTTGCGCAAGAACTGGAGATGTCTCCCTGAGCCTAGCAATGGGTGGTGTTGCCCTGCGGTCTGTGACAGCCTTGCAACTTTGGCAGATGGAAGGTTTGGGAGCTTCGTTGCCTTTCCAGCCAGAGAGCCCAAAAAAAAAGGGCCGGCAAGGCCTTGCCCTGGCCCTCGGGGTCTGTCGCATCGTCCTTTTTTGAGGTGGCACCCCCTTTTGTGTGGTTTGAAAGGAGTGTCCGAACCAGCGATTCGTCCGGTTCCTCAAGTTTTTAGTTGTGTTTGGTTGGTTTAGCGGTTGGGTTTCCGAGTTCAACCCAGCAAAAGGGAAACAATCTGCAGGGCATCTGAGGGCCCAGTTATGCAATCAAATGAGACAGTCGGCATTAACACGAATTCAAATTTCAGGAGGGGAGAGAAGGGCCCCGAGCTTTCGTGGTGCGAGTAGGGAATGGCAGCGAGTCCGGGTCTTGGGGAATGAACCAACAGATGGTTCGACGGAGACGGCACATGGATATGCACCTGTGGAACTATGTCAATGTGGGTGTTGTTCCCTTTTTGATTGGTACCAACCTTTTGGGTTGGTTTCAAGGGACGCCAAAAGGACAACTGTTTTGCCATTTTAGTGGGGGATCCTTTCAAGCGCTTTCCTAATCTAGGAGTCTGAATAGAGTCTTAAGAGTGCACATGGGTGTAGTTGGTGGCAGGTGGCACTCGCGAATTCTCGCACAAGTCCTCAGTTTCCACAACAGTCGCTCAGTTTTTTGGTGGGGCTCCACTTGTCAAAGTTGGCTACTTCCGCGTTCCGAGGATGGCTGAATACCGCCAGATGGTCCCTCTTCTTCCTCTGAGGGGAGGCTTGGCACCTGATCCGTGCAGTGACTCCTTTGGGCGGTTTTGTCAATGGCACGTGGTGTTCCCTAAAACCACGAAAAAACGGGGTTCCCCCAAAAAAGACACACCCATATTAAGCAAAGTATACTAACTTTCCACCCACCTGCCTGCCAAAGCTTCAAATAATCTAAGACCGACCCCGAACCCATACCGCGACCATGTGTCAGAAATATGAGAAGAACCTACTCCACAACATGGAGCCGTTTGCCGGCATACTCGCACCCAGTTGGAAAAAGCAACCGTCCAAGTTGGGTATCAATCAACCACGCGTTTCTTGGCGGTTTCCATTTAACTCACTAAAAGCTAAACATTTCAGCGGAGGATCTGCCAGATGTGTTTCGCAGTTTCCAGGCATTTGCTCCCGTTGGTTTCAGCAAGACAGGGGGGCCGGGCATTGACGGCCCACGTTTTGCTGAAGATCAGCTCGCATCTTTTTCATCGACTCAGGCGGTGGAAGGGAGGCGCAAGTGGCCGTGCACTGAGCTCAATTCTCTTTTTTGCTTTCAGCGCCTGCAAAGGTCTGTGAGCCCCCAAAATGGTGGGTTTCCTTTCCGTTTCCCTGTCAACCACAAGACAGAGGGTAACGTCTGTGTTTTGCGTGTTGCGGTCGTCGTCTTTGTTTTAGGGTGCCCTTTGTCGGGGTCGGCTGCAAGGGAATCCAAAAGGAAAGCCGCCATGTTGGGGGGTCCCCTAAAACAAGATTGTTGCTGTGTTGTTTTTCGCCCTTTCGAGCACTCATTGAAGTGGATCGGAGAATCGGACCACACCTCTGTCAGCGGAGGCATGATTGTTGGAAAGACGTATTTGTTTGTGCTTACAAAAGCAGCCCCAGTATATTGGGCACTCTAGTACCAACCACCATGACGTACCATTTTGCGTCCGTGTTCGGCTAGCGCTTCTTTGGGTTTTGTTGACAAAAACAGCAAGCGTGAGACCTCGCAATTGGCAAGGCGTTGTCAGTCCAGAAAGCAGTAGCCTACCGGGTGTGTGTGTGTGTGTGTCTGCTGGCGTCCCTCATTTCAGACATGTGTCGCTTTGCAGGGGATTCATTTCATGCTGATGCCATTGACAACATCTGCAAGGTCCAACTCGTTTCCTTTTGACAGAGCTGTCGGAGTGAACTTTGTCGCACCTTTGATTCGACTCAGGTGGCACAATCCTTGGGGGCAAGGACGAACTCTGCTCGTCATGTCGACCCGTTGTTTCGAGGGCAAGTACTAAGTATGGGCAACTGGGTTCCAAGCCTCCCCGATTCTTGTGGCGCACGCCCCGGCAAAAAAAACAACAACAAGACAAGCACCTACCCCAGAGTTTCTTTCATTTGTTGCAGGATCGTCCGAAGGGATGCATTGCCTTGCGAAACTTTTTTCTGGGGTTTTCGCTCCGTCAGCACTTGTGAGCATCTCTGTAAGGAGCCCCGCATCGTAATCTCCACTGGGTGCTAATAATCCGAAATGTGAAACAGATGCCCGATTGAAGCAGGGTGATTCTTTGATCCGCTGGCAAAGAAAAGGGGCTCAAACAAACAGAGTCTAACCCTTGAGAGGGATCACATGATGTTTTGTTCTCCTCCCAAAGGAGTCAACAGATAGCCCCTGGATGCGTTCCTGAGAGGAGCCCTGGACAAGTCCCCCCGAATGCGAGGCCAGGCATTGGGTGGGCGAGACCCGGATGAGGATCCTCTTTGTTTTGTTTTGTTTTGTTTTGGGGGGGGCGGGGGATGTGACCCAGATAAACACTCGTAGAGATAGATGATGAGCATGGCCTCTCTTTCCCTTACCCTTCAGCTGTCAAGGGAAGTAAATGGGAAAGGACAAATATATTTAGGTGAGGTGGGTAGCCGGTAATCTGTGGACATGAGATGGAGAGTGCTTCCTTTAGCTTGCAATTTCAAGGCAAATGACACGGCCAATTTGTGAAATGTTGGGTTTTAGTTTTGAAGGGAGACCAAGAGGCGCGCTGCAGGATCACATTCGGACAGCGGTGCGAAGGTTGGTCCAACAGTCCAGTGTTGTAGAGTTAGCTAACAAATATAAAGTCGTTTTAATAGATCGTGGTTTCTTCTTTTTGGGATGTTTCTGATTAGTTTCTGAAGCTCAGGTCTTTGTGCCTTTTGGACATTGTTGATTCGTTATCTTCAACGTTTTCGGATGCGGTCTGAAGCTTTGCATCTTCCAGATCCTCCCGCTTTTTCCTCAGAGATGGGTTTTCACCGAGTCATGCAACCCCAAGTTGCGAATCAATCTTTGCACGTGCACTTGTAATGCTGCAGGCAATCTCCCGGAAATGCAAATAGCAGCGACATGTCACCAGAACAAATCATGTTCTTCACTTCATGGCAACTCCTCTTGTCTTTTTTAAGCATGCAGATTAGATCATGTCAGATTTTCGCATCGTGAGCTAAAAAACTGTTTCGCTTTGCTAGTTTCTTGTTTAAAGCAACAGATACCCTCCTGTCCAGCAAGATGGAACCTGATGTAGTCTTCTCCTGGCTCACAATTAAAGAGCTCGGGCTACGCGGGTTTTAGTCCTTGGTTCCACTCACCAAGGTGCCATTTTGGCACATTTTCTTGAGCCAATGCGAGATCTTTATGCAGTTTTCCATCAAAAACGGCGATGAGACCGGGGGCCCTGCATGTTCTGATGGCCCTCTACGACCCCCCATTGACCACTTCAAGCCGGGGTTGCTGCACCCGGTCGGCTCCTGGAATCATAGGTGCCCTTTTGGGACATTTCTGTGGTAAATGGGGCATAACACCAACTTAGATCAGTGGAACCCATCTATTTTCAACCAAGCTATCCGATCAAGAATAACCATGCTGCTCCTGCATACCATGTTGCTCGAGCCAAAGTGAGTTTCAGGTTCTGGGAGCCTTTGAGGAAAAGCGATGGGATTACGGATGCTTGGTTTCTGAAAGGGGTTTTGGTTTTCTTCCAAGCCAAGAAAATCCCAAAGCTTCAAGTACAGAACCCCCACATGTCCAGGTCTCCCTGTATTCTCCCTTGAAACCCAGCTCCGAGGCCAAAACCACATGTGTGATACTCACACGCTCGCCAGACCGTGGTTGAGCTCCAGCCCTGCACAAAGTTTGCCCAGCGCCAGCTCGATGAATGGGCGCGAGTCCATGAAGCCGGGTGCAGCTCCTCCGATCGAAATGCGCAGCCGGGCGGCCGGGCGGCCGGGCGGCGGGGTTCCGTGCAGTCGTGGGTCCGGCCGTCGGGTGAAAATGCTGGGCCTTCGTGTGAATCAACACAACCTGCATGATGCATGAACGCCACAAAATAGATGGGAATGAAACATGAAGCAATAATTCGGATGCTAGGGCGTGAAAGATGAAGCAGGAAGCACACATCTAAACGAAAAGAGTGGTTGATCGCCTCACACTTTGCAGGGGTGTCAGGGCAATACGCGCTGTGAGACAGATTCTTGTCCCGCTTCAGTGGGATCTTGAAAGAGGCCCGTAGTCGATGCATGTCAGCATGGGTGGCTCGTGCTTTTTTTTTTTTTGGGGGGGGGGGACCCTTTTGTGGTGGTGTTTAGAGGGAAACTCTTTTTTTGGCGTGGGGGGGTGGGGGCGGGGTGGGCGGGTGGGGTGGGGGATCTGTTTGTTTTTTTCAAACTAGGGCTGTTTTTCTTTACTGGGGCTGGTCACCTGGTTGGTTGGTTGGTTGGTCGGTCGGTCGGTCGGTTGGCTGGCCGCATCCACGGCATCACCAGCCTCACTTGGCCCTGGGGAAACCTATTGGCTCTGATTGCGTGGCTGCTCGGGGCTGCTTCAGGGGGGCTTTGGCAGGCTTCGATCTTCATGAGGGTGGGTCTTGGGATGGTTTGGGGTTGATTTGGGAGAAGCGAAGGGCTGACATCCAGGCTGCTGTTGGGCGGGTTTGGGTTGGCTTGGAGCTGATTTGTGTTAGGTGTGCTGCTGGTTTAGGATCAGTTTAGGATCGGTCTTGGAGCGGTGCCCCAAATCAGCAAAACTCGCCCACAACTCACTTAACCACACCCTAAAGCAACCTTAAAGCCGCTGCTAAACCAGCAGCACACCTAACACAAATCAGCTCCAAACCAACCCAACCCCACTCAAAGTCAACCCTAAACCCACCCAACAGCAGCCTGGATGTCAGCCCTTCGCTTCTCCCAAATCAACCCCAAACCATCCCAAGACCCACCCTCATGAAGATCGAAGCCAGCCAAAAGCCCCCCCAACTTGAAGCAGCCCCGAGCAACTCCCAACTGCCACGCAATCAGAGCCAATGGGGTGGAAAATTAGAAAAGACGTTTTTCGTGCAATGGGAAGCCCTTGTGGACTATGAGTTTTTGGTATAGAGAGGCGCTCATTTTCCAACTATGCTTGGAGCGCATCGAGTCTCCAATAGCTGGACCGCTGATTTCTGGGGCCAGGCAGCGGGCTGAACGGGGGCAAGGTTGCTGAACACCTTGAGGCTCTTTCGTTTTTTTGGGCTCCGCGGCCTCGGCCCGGCGAACCAAAGGCGCCCCTGGCCCCGGACCGCGACGTGGTGCAGTTTTTGTCCACCATCTTTTATGTGAACGAGACCGATGACGCGGCGGTGGTCCGCGCCATTCGTGTAGGCGAGCCGCCTTTGCGAGCTGGGGTCTCATGGAAACGAACCGAGCCTGAACCGAACTTTTGGGAGGCCTCACGGTTTGTTGGTTCCTGTGAAGCAAATGTGGCAGGAGGGGAAACTAAATTGGAGAACCCGACCTTTGTGCAAAGGTGTTCTTTCTTCACCAACCAAGCAGCGCCCCCTGTGAATGTATCCAAGATCGCTCAACTTGCCTCTCGAGTTGGCACCCTTTCGCTCGAGTTGGTGGGTTGTGGAAGACCTTTGCGTTCATTGGGACCTGTGCTCTTCAATGTGTGGTGGAAGGGTACTTGAAGAGCACCGAGTGTAGGTTGCTTCGCAGTCCGGCCACAAGTTGCCTGGCTTTCCCTGCTTCCTTTTGACAAGCAGCACCAAGCAGGGTCAACCCTTGGACCGTTGAATCCATCAATATCACACGACTGACCGCTTGCCAGTTCGACTCTACCTTGAGACTCGAAACACAGTATGGCATTTCGAGATAGCAACCACTCCTTGTATGGGAGGGGCTTCGCAGGAACCCACAACAACCGGGGGTTCAAAGTCGAAACCACCAATCCAACCTTTCGGGGTACCTGATCACACTGCTCCAAGGGTACATCTTACGCGAAAACTCGCACGGAGGCAGCCTAAGAGGCAGCTGCTCAGTCAAGTGGTCCACGCAGGACCCGAGCGAAATGGGAAGCGAAGCGAGAAAGGGTTTTCGCGAAGTTCTTTGCGCAATAGCTTTCCGAAGGTTGATGCGTTTTTTTTCTTCTTCTCTTCGAATCTTGTAAGATTGACTTTCAGGGGAAGTTTTCCGAAGGCAGACAGTTTTGTTTCTCTCCGAATCTTGTAAGATTGACTTTCAGGGGAAGTTTTCTGAAGGTTGACGGGTTTTTTCTCTCCGAATCTTGTAAGATTGACTTTCAGGGGAAGTTTTCCGAAGGTTGACGGTTTTGTTTCTCTCCGAATCATGTAAGATTGACTTTCAGGGGAAGTTGTCCGAAGGTTGACGGTTTTTTTCTCTCCGAATCTTGTAAGATTGACTTCAAGGGGTTGTTGTCCGAAGGCTGACGATTTTGTTTCTCTCCGAATCTTGCAAGATTGACTTTCAGGGGAAGTTGTCCGAAGGTTGACGTTCTTGTTTCTTTTCGCATCTTGTAAGATTGACTTTAAGGGGTTGTCCGAAGGGGGAAGTTTTCCGAAGGTTGACGTTTTTGTTTCTCTTCGAATCTTTCAAGATTGACTTTAAGGGGTTGTTGTCCGAAGGTTGACGGTTTTGTTTCTCTCCGAATCTTGTAAGATTGACCTTCCGGGGAAGTTTTCCGAAGGTTGACGTTTTTGTTTCTCTTCGAATCTTTCAAGATTCACTTTAAGGGGTTGTTGTCCGAAGGTTGACGGTTTTGTTTCTCTCCGAATCTTGTAAGATTGACTTTAAGGGGTTGTTGTCCGAGGGTTGACGGGTTCTTTTCTCTCCGGATCTTGTAAGATTGACTTTCAGGGTAAGTTTTCCGCAGGTTGACGGTTCTTTCTCTCCGAATCTTGCAAGATTGACTTTAAGGGGTAGTTTTGCGAAGGCTGACGGTTTTGTTTCTGTCCGAATCATGTAAGATTGACTTTCAGGGGAAGTTTTGCGAAGGCTGACGGTTTTGTTTCTCTCCGAATCTTTCAAGATTGACTTTTAGGGGAAGTTTTCCGAAGGTTGACGTTTTTGTTTCTCTTCGAATCTTGTAAGATTGACTTTAAGGGGTTGTTGTCCGAATGTTGACGGTTTTTTTTCTCTCCGCATCTTGTAAGATTGACTTTCAGGTTTTGTTTCTCTCCGAATCTTGTAAGATTGACTTTCAGGGGGGTTTTCCGAAGGTTGACGTTTTTGTTTCTCTCCGAAACTTGCAAGATTGACTTTCAGGGTCGTTTTGCGAAGGTTGACTGTTTGACTCCCCAAATCTTGCAAGATTGACTTTAGGGGGTGGTATGTTGACGGATGGTTTGCATCCCTTTGAACCCAACACCCTCCATTTGAAGGTCTGCCGGCCAAAGCCGCGGGGCAAGGAATCACGGGCTCAGGCAGCCTTCCATCGGCGTATCGATGCGAATCGCAACGCCGTAGCTGCAGGAACTGCCAACGGATCCGCTTTGATGCCTCGACTCTCTCGTATTTCCCCCCCCTCCCCCCGTTTTTGTCAGGTTGCCCGTCGGTGGTTTGGAGCCCGGTGGTTTGGTGGTTGGATTGGTGGTTTCCCATTTGCCCTCTACAAGAGCCTTTCCTACAAGCACCAAGGTTTCAAATCCAGATCCAAACCAGCAATCCAAACCAACTAGGAAGCCGTGCTGCACGTTTGGTTTTGCGGGGTGACTGATTTTCAGACCTGGGGCCTGAGGAAGGAAGAAAACGGGCCCTGGGCGCGAGGACGCTTCTGCAATGGAGGGGAAGAAGTACAATGCCGGTGACTTGGACGAACTTGGCGAAGCTCGCCCCCCCGGAGTCCGGAGGGTATGAAGCTAGGTTTTTCAGTAGTGCCCTTTGACCGTTTCCTTTTTGGGGGAGGGTTCCCCTACAAAAATAGACTACAGAAAAAAGAAACGGTACCCTTATTGTAACCTCTCTACTGGAGGACCTAGGAAGAGAACACACACACGACGGTCCAGGTCCAAACACAGGTTGGCACCAAAGTGTCGGGCACAAAGTTGCTGGTCGAGGAATGAGAATTGGAATGACCCCGCCATAAACCATTCCGTGCGGTTTGCTTTCAGGGAATCCCCTTCCGGTTCAGTCCCAACACCCGGAAAGGTCATTCCCTACTGAGCACCATCAAGTTTTGGAGGGTCACTTACTTCCAGGCAAATTGTAGAACACAGGCGCCCGCAGTCATGTTTTGCCACTGCGTGCTGGCGAACAACACACATGTGAAACCAAGCTTCCCAATTTCATCCCTTCATGGTCGTTGTCAAGCGGGCAGTCACCGAGGAAAAGCAAGCATATGTCTTGCGAGTCGCTTGGGAGGGAGCTGAGCTAATCCGAATTGGGGCTAGCAGCCCATGGTCTCGAGCAGAGAGACTTTGCTTCAAGCAGGTGTGTGCTCGGTCATGACCATGATGGTAACCTACTTATGAAGTTTGAACACCAAGGTAGACTTGCTTTCATTGAAACGTATCAAGTGACCTACTTACTAAGTTTGAACACCCAAGAAGACTTGCATTCCTTCAAGCAGCCGTTGGCATGTGTCATCTCTCCGTTTTCCAAGCTAGAAACCCACTTTCCAAAGAAAATAATCTTCACATTCACCACGCGGGTTTCTTTAAATTGGCAGCTCGGCTCGCTTGTTTTTGAGGCTCGGGTGCCTCTTTGTTTGTGGTTCTTAAACCGACACCCAAAGGAGATCGTTGTCGTTTCGGCTGGGGTCCAACCGGAAAAAAAAAAAAAAACATGTCTCATACTTTGCCTGTTCTGTGGTCCTTGATCGCCCTTTTTGGGGGTCCAACCTCAAACACGACACCCAACTAGACCCTGTCGGCTCCACCCCTCTGGCTCCAGGCGAGGGCATGTTGCACTTCGGCCCCGGCGAGTCGGTGCGAACCTTCGAGCCGCTCGCCCGCGTGCCGTTTGCGTCGAGCGAACGCTGAGCGAAAGCCCCCAGATGCTGCGATCGGAGGGTGTGAACCTGGTGGCTCTTAGCTTTTTGACTTCTTGGGGATGTAGTGGGGGTTCCATTTGACCCACCAAAAGTTAAACTTTTTGCAAGGGATCTGAGGACAGCCCAGTGAAGCGAAGAAACGCGATTGTCCAGGTCCAAACTCAGAGAACACACACAGAGAAACCTGTTTTTAGGCACCAAAGTGTCGGGCAAAAGGGTAGAGTTGCTGGTTCGATCAGCAGGGATTGAGAGTTGGAACTTTTTTTTCAAGAAAGGGCTCATTTCTTGGGTTGAACGGGAAGCCAAAAGGAAAGCCAAGATCCATGTTGGGGTGTTGCCCTATTTTACGACATACCCGTCCATTGCGGAAAACCGCCCAGTGCCCTTGAGAAAAAAAAAAAAAAAAAACAGAGCCAGCTGAAGACTTCGTGGACTCCGGTCGGCGTTCCACAGAGGCCCTGTTTCAAGTGAACGGAAGGAACGCAACGGGGTATCAACGGGCTATGCGAGATCTGGAGATTCTTTTCACTTGCCATGAAGCCTAGATAGTTACAGTTGGATTCCGAAATGCGGTTGTTTTTCCCTACCCGCCTACAAGTCACAGTCCTTCTGCTTTCATTGGCATCAAAAAGGAGACCACATGACTGCGAGCATAGCCTCCCACCACTTAACATGGAACCTGATGTTCGGGATCCCGGTCCCTTCAAAAGGAAAATGCCCCAGGACCCCCCGAACTTGAGGGCAGAACGTCCAGCTTCACTCTTCCAGGGAGCTTTTAACTCGATGCTTTCAGGGGCTTACCCCAAGAGCAGTCCTGACCTGTGTCTCTCGCATTTCTTTTCAGGCTGTTGCCATGCCAAACACGGTCCTAGTATTGACCCTCAAGATGCCAAGTATTCTTGTTCCCAACTACAGACAGTATTACAAGCAAGTGGGAAGGCACGGCATAGGGGATGCCGTCGAGGCTTTTTTTGTTTTCCGACATTATGCCAGTCCTTGCCACAAGCAATCCGCTGGAGTCGTAGCATGACTTATCGACTTCGTCTTGTGACCATATGTAATCAGAACACGTATATGAACAGAAAGCTGAGAAACGCCATTCGGTTAATTTGGTTATCTGCGAATCGGTCAGTGGTCCTCCCCTTAGCCCAAGGTTCCGAAAAAGAAAGAACCCTCTTTACTCGCCCCACAGTCATATGGGGGTTGATCAAAAGGTCCTTTACATGAGATGACCACAGGGGAAAACCGGAAAACAAGATGCCATGTCACTGATAGGTTCATGGGAAAGTTACCCATGGTCATATCTGGGGGCCCCAGAAAGGGAACATATGGATCAACTCCCAAACGTTTTTGAACCCGAGGGTCGGCATCATCGACGACGACAACTTCGACACCGCCTTGGAGTTTGACGTTCTGCTGTCAGAACCCATGAACTGCGTCTTGGACCCCCGGCTCTCGATGAGCAGCGCGCCTTGGATGGTTTGTTTTTGGTGTGGATCCTTGAGGATCCGGAGATTTCTGGGATACGTCAAAGCTAGGGTAATTTTGGGAGGGACATTGTGGTTCAATTTGAGCTGGGAAGACTCCCTGTCCCAACATAAGGCAATTGGCCAGATGCATGTTCTTTTTCGCAGCCTGTGTGACGTGGAAGTGTTCACAAATTGGGTGCCTCGGCCCAAAAAGGACTTCCTCAGTCCCCCCCCCCCCAAGTCCCCCCCCCAAGTTCGGCTGCAAGTTGAGGGCGTATTTGGAGGGGGCGAGGGGAACAAAGGGCACGGAACAGGGAAAGGCTACGTCCTTCGTTCCCTTTGGGGAAAATGGCATCGGGAAGGGCTGAGGCCCATGGCTCAAGATGGCAACCTCGCATGTTGAAACTCTCCAGATAGTGGGTCCGCCAAACCCAAAGACGCTGCTTTTCTTCAAAAGAGCAAGTGCGGGGTGGTTACAACCGCGGCTTTTCCATGAGGTGCTTCATGTTGCCAATGGTTTCCAGAATTCCAGAGGGTTTCCTCAGGTGGCAGTGAGATTCAGAGAGATGGCAATCAACCCTTGTGGCATTTGGTGCGGCTCAGGTGATGATTTTGGATGATGACCTCTTTCCATCCAACAGCTTCAAAGAGGCGCTTTGAGCTTGCGGCTTGTGGCGCTCTGGCTCATGGGTCCAGAGAAACGAATCGGAGTGGCGTGCCAGTGAAGGCCTTGTGAGGAAGCGCAGGACCTTTGAATTCTAAAGAACCCGAAACGGTAAGACTGAAAAGTGGGACTGAAAGCTAACATACTGCCAGGAGAAGTGCGAGTTTGCTTCGAAAGACTTTGATCTCCTGGTTCTGAACATGTTGTTCCTGCTACAACAGCGCAGCAAATTGCCAGCTTGAGGTTGATGTGATTGTAGGGATGTATCGTTTTGCCACCGGCTGAGGTCAGGAACGCACAAATCGCTAATTAGTTGGCATAGGAACCCCTCCACACACAAAAGCAAAACAGAACAGAGGAACACAGACACAAAGGCGCGATGGGCAGACACACACACACACACACTTGTAGAGTGAGGTTACTGAGGAATCACGTGCGACACGGAAGCAGAAAGCCTCAGATGAGCACGTCGCCAAAGCAAGCCAGAAAATAACAGCGCCGAAGAACAAGCCGAACACTCGTTGCGCAGACTCACGCTCATGCGCGCAACACACGTACACATGAAGAGACACGCGCACGAATCACGGCATTGGCACACTGTATACCACACCTGCGAGTTCACCTGCAGCAACATGTTCACGCAAAACATTCACACATAGAGGAATGTACGTATATGCGCTCACACACACACACACACACACGCACGCACGCACGCACACACGCACGCACGCACGCGATACGCACGCACGCACGCACGCGCGCACGCACGCCCC